TCGTCTCTAATTTTTATAATGAAAATTACTCCTCAAGTTTTGACATATATGTTGCCTAATTAACATTAGCAGACATTAGGGTTGCATTTTTTGAAGAACACTAATCTCCTCGTCTATAAAATTTGACTCAAATTTATAAAGAACATATAATTAAATAGCCCAATAGGAATAATGAACATTAATCAAATGAGAAATGGCAAGTTGCTTGTTTTTATGGTCAAACTGGTTGGCATTAGCTTTTAAAAAGCACACTCCAAGTACTTTATATCCTCATTTTCTTTAAACTCGTCAAAGGTTAAAGGGCATTGCCAAAATGTCCTGTTTTGGCTGGGGAATTTCTCCTCTATCTCTAAGAAGATTAGAAAACTTGAACAGAGCACTAACTATAGCAGGGTATTGGAAAGGTGATTAAAGATCAACTACTGAAAAGGACGCATAAGGAGCTCTTTTGGTGCAATGGTTAAAACCCTTTCAAGACCCAATTATTTTCTGCTTTGAATTTTTTGTTGATACCATGTGTTTTCATTAATGGAATGCATACTGAATCACGAAGTGTGTTTGAATTTTTGGTAGGTTGTTGTTGTCGGTAGGTGCTGTCGAGTCAGTTCCCACTCATAGTGACCCTGTGTGCAACAGAACAAAACACTGCCTAGTCCTGTGCCATCCTCACAGTCGTTGCTATGCTTGAGTCCATTGTTGCTGCTACTATGTCAGTCCGTCTTGTTGAGGATCTTCCTCTTTTTCACGGACCCTCTGCTTTACCAAGCATGATGTCCTTCTCCAGGGACTGGTCCCTCCTGACAACATGTTCAAAGTACGTGAGACGAAGTCTCGCCATCCTCACTTCTAAGGAACATTCTGGTTGTACTTCTTCGAAGACAGACCTGTTCATTTTTCTGGCAGTCCATGGTACACTCAGTATTCTTCGCCACACCATAATTCAAATGTATCAATTCTTCTTCAGTCTTTCTTATTCATTGTCCAGCTTTCACATGCATATGAGGTGATCGAAAATACCATGGCTTGGGTCAGGTGCGCCTTAGTCCTCAAAGTGACATCTTGGCTTTTTAACACTTTAAAGAGGACTTTTGCAGCAGATGTGCCCAATGTGATACATCATTTGGTTTCTTGACTGCTGCTTCCATGGGAGTTGATTGTGGATCCAAGTAAAATGAAATCTTCAACAACTTCAGTCTTTTCTGTTTATCTTGATGTTGCTTATAGGTCCAGTTGTGATGATTTTTGTTTTCTTTATGTTGAGATGTAATCCATACTGAAGGCTATAGTCTTTGGTAGGTACTATGTATTTTTTTCTCTCCTCATCCCACCAATCCTACCCTCAGAGCCCAGAGGGACAGAACTGTCCCACTAATTCTGCCTGCCCAGAGTCCAGTGGGACATATGTATCCCAAAAAAAACTTTCTATCAAAATTCATATTTTTCATACCAAAAACATGGATTCAGCACCACCTCATACAATATCCTGTAAAAAACAGTAATTTGCAGTACATACTCATTTTTTCCATTTCAAACTTTCATACAGGTATCCACCTACCAGCATCACCCACTGTCAGTGGGAAAGCAAATTCCCAATAAACCCCAGAGGTGGAAAATTTAGGTGGGCAACAATATATCCCAACAGTCATGAAAATGTTTAAGCACTCAATTGCTAACGGAAAGGTTGGCAACTCAAACCCACCAGTGACTCTGCAGGAGAAAAGACCTAGTGATCTGTTCTTGTAAAAATTACAGCCTAGGAAACCCTATAGGGCAGTTCTACTCTGTCCTGTAGGATAACTATGAGTCCAAATTGACTCAACGGTACACAACGATAACATTGAAAAGGACATGGTGAAGGATTCACAGTTAAATTTTATCTGACCTTTAAGGATCAGATAATCCTCATATTATTTAAACTATTCTGGCTATAGAACTGATCAAAAGCTTTCTAATTTGCCTTATGAAACCAGTATATCTCTAATACCAAAATGTAATAAGTCAATAAGATTAATCTCATTTTTAAATATAAAGGCAAAATATCTGAATAAAATAGAAATCTAGTAATCTATCAAATGAATAATACACTAAAAAAAATTTCAGAAATGCAAGGATGATTCAATATTGGCAATAACTGGAACTTCTCCATAAATTCCATTTCATAGCCCCACTCTCTGACCACTACCTTCTACCTTTCTAGCTCATTCTCTTTGGTACTCAACTTCTACCATTCTTCCCCTCAACAGGCTCTCTAGTCCATTGATCCTAAACCTTTTCACCAGGTCTCACACCTCATAAAGCTTTCACTCCATGATCAATCATTGTAATCTTGTCCTTGCACACACCTTGGACAACCTTCTCCCTCTCTAGTTTTGTACTTTCTTGGGAAACCAGAACCCTAGTTAAAGTCAAGTCTCCAATACTCATGTCCTCATTCACAAGTATTTGAACATGACTAAAGAAAAACAAATAGCCACAGTGACTGCTCTGACCTCAGGTGGCTCCTTAATGCTGCTCAGCAATCAAACTATATTTTCCCAGTGCATTCACCCTCCCAATCTCATATAGCTGTTGGCTACCATCAAGTTGGTCTCCAACTCATGGTGATCCCATGCACAACAGAATGAAATGCTGTGCTGTTGGAGATCAGGTAATAATGTTCCATTGTATTCCATAGAGTTTTCATGGCTGATTTTCAGAATTAGATCACCAGGCCTTTCTTAGTGTTAGTCTGTTCAGCATCATAGCAACACACAAGCCTCCGGTGACATATGAGTGGTGACTACACATGAGGTGCATTGGTCAGGAATCAAACTTCAGTCTTCTACATGAAGGTGGTAGACTATTGAACCACCAGTGCCTCAATCTCAATCTCACAGAGGACTATTTTACACCTTATCTCTCATTAAGCCTCCAGCACCTCATCACCCATCCTCATGCTCAGAAGATGATCTTATGTCCCACTTCAGTGAGAAAGCTGATCAGAAGAGAATTTTAACATACTTGTATTACCATATCTACCAACATCTGCTGACATCTGCACACATACTCTCTGCTTTCCTATTCTTTACTAAAGATGGAGTATCTATTCTCCCATCTAAAGTCCATTCCTTTACTTGTGCACTAGATCCAAAAGACTTGTATGCACTGTCTCCAATTTCTCTTCTTCCATTCTCGATTTTACTTTTCCAACCTTTTCTTTGGAAAAATCTCAAGCCTGTAGAAAAATTACAAGAGTAGTACAATGAAAACCCATACACCCTTCATCAAGTACAATAATTCACCAATTATTAACATAATTGGTGTTATTTTAACATAAATAAATTAATATTACCCTCTACCAATTATTATGATTCATCAATTATTAACATTTTTTCACATTTGCTTTATATTTGTATTTTTTATTCTTTTATATATAAGTATATATATTTAAAAAAACAAAAACCAAACTCATTGCTGTCAAGTTGATTCTGACTCATAGCAGCCCTATAGGACAGAGTAGAACTTCCCCACAGGGTTTCCAACGAGCAGCTGGTAGATTTGAACTATGGACCTTTTGGTTAGCAGCCTTAGCTCTCAACCACTGCGCCACCAGGTCTCCACACACACATAAATTTGTGTGTGTGTGTATGCACACACATTCTTTCAGCTGAACCATTTCAGAGTTAATTACAGTCATCAAACTATTCTTAAATACTTAGCATGTGTCTTAGTTATCGAGCGCTGCTCTAACAGAAATACCACAAGTGGATGGCTGTAACAAAGAGAAATTTATTCTCTGACAGTCTAGTAGGCTAGAAGTCCAAATTCAGGGCATCAGTTCCAGGGAAGGCTTTCCCCCTCTCTCTTGGCTCTGGAGAAAGTTTCTTGTCATCAATCTTCGCTGGTTGAGGAGCTTCTCAGTGCAGGGACCCCGGGTCCAAAGGACATACTATTCTCCTGGCTCTTGTTTCTTGGTTGTATGAGTTCTCCTTGTCTCTCTGCTCACTTCTCTCTCTTATATCTCAAAAGAGATTGGCTTAAAACACCATCTGATCTTGTAGATTGAGTCCTACCTCACTAACACAACTGCCACTAATCCCACCTTGTTAACATCATAGAGGTAGGATTTACAATACATAGGAAAATCATATCAGATGACAAAATGGTGGACAATCACACAATACTGGGAATCATGGACTAGCCAAGTAGACACAAATTTTGGGGGGACACAATTCAATCCATAAAAGCATGTATATCCTTAAGTTATTTTTCTACAGGACCATAACATAATTATCACATTCAGAAAATTTACCACTAATAACAATAATATTACTTAATAGTCTGTATTCAGATATCTTCAATTGTCTCCATAATATCCTTTACAGATTTTTTTTGTAATTGGTGGTGGTGGTGTTGATGGTGATCGTGGTATTTTTAATTCAAGATCCAATCAAGGATCATGCATTACATTTAGTTGTCATCGCAAATTCTGTATTAAATACATTCCAATGAGACTTTCACTCTCACCACTCTACTGCATTGATGACCTCATATTAAGGTCATCAACGACTTCCATGTAGCCAAATCCAAAATGTTCTTAGTTAACCTGTAAGCAGCATTTTTTACATGGCTGATCAATCCCTCCTCCCTGAAATAGTTTTTTCACTTGATTCCAAGACACTGCACTCTCCTGGTTTTCCCCTCACTTCTCTGGCCCTTTTCTATCACTCCCCAGTATCGGGTCTTTTGTTTTCTTCATCTACACTCCATTAGTGGTCTCAAACAGCCCTGTGGCTTTAAATACTATATGTCAAAGACTCCTCCGTTTATATCTCTAGCCCAGACCTCTCACTTAAACCTGAGACTCATATCCAATTGTCTTCTGAATACTTTCCCCTGGATATCCGAAAAAAGAATATCAAAGTTAATATGTACAGAGCTAAACCTCTGATCTTTGTCCACTTTCAGCCGATATGCAATTAATTAGCGATACTTCTGGCTGTATTTTAAAAATACATCCGGTGCCCACTTTGGCGGCACACGCACTAAAACTGGAACAACACAGAGCAGGTGGCCATGGCCCCTGCACAAGGATGACACACAAATTTGGGGGAGGTCGAGAAAAACCTGTGGGGGGAAAAAAAAACACAGCCATTGAAAACACTGTGGAGCACAGTTCTGCTCTGAAACACACGGGATTGCCATGAGTCGGAGTGGACACTACAGCAACCAGTTTAATTGCTTGTCAGGTAGCCCTGAACTTGTTGCCTTGAAGTTGATTCCTACTCATAGCGACGCTATAGGACAGAGTAGAATTGTCCCATAGAGTTTTCAAGGAGTGGCTGTTGGATTTGAACTGCCGACCTTTTTGGTTAGCAGCTGAGATCTTAACCACTGTGCCACAAATTTGTGGCACTCCATGCTTTTGTGGTGACGGTGGCACAGCACGATGAATGTGATTAATGACACTGAATTGTACACTTAATTACCACTGATTGAAACAGTACATTTTTTGTGATACATATGTTATCACACAGCCACTTCTTACCATTTCTACTGATAAAACCCGGTCGGAGACTCCATCTTTCTTGTCTGGTAGTAACTGAAATAGCCTCCTAACAGCACCCCTACTTTCACCTTTTTTGCCCCAGAGCCTATTCTCAAACAACAGCCAGAGTGATATTTTTAAAACATAAGTCAGATCATGTCATTCCTCTGCTCCAAGCCCCGCTCTCCCAGTGGTTCTACATTTCACTTGGAATAAAAGCCAAAGTCCTAACAGTGGTCTATATACCGAAAACCAAACCAAAGTCAATTCCGTGGAGTCGATTCCAACTCATAGCAACCCTATAGAACAGAGCAGAACTGCCCCATAGGGTTTCCAAGGAGCGCCTGGTGGATTTGAACTGCCGACCTTCTGGTTAGCAGCCAAACGCTTAAACACTGCTCCACCATGGATCCAGGATCTATAAGGCCCTTATTAAATCTGCCCCTCTCAACGCTATCCATCTGACCTCCTCTCCTACTGCTCTTCCTATCGCTCCAGCACTCCAGCCACACATGTCTACCTTCCTCACCTTCTTCAGGTATTTTCTCAAAAGTTCCATTTTCAATGAGCTCTAGATTAATTCCTCGTTTAAATTGCAATTCACCCACCCATTCCACTCCCAACCCCCTTTTTATTTTGCTCTTTTTAACCATAGTATGTCTCACTTTCTAACATACTATGTAGTTGGCTTACTTATTATCTATGTTAGTAATATAACACATATTCCACAAGGGCAGGGATTTTTGTTTCTTTCGCTGTTGGCTCCCTGGTGCCTAGAAGAATGTCTGCATTCTTGCTGAATAAATGAATGAAATCTATCAACATACTACATTAACAAAAGAGAAAACTACATACAATCACGTGCATAGATACTAAAAACACTTTTGAAACAATTCAATATCCATTTCTAAATTTAAAAATAAAAGGTAAAATGGGAAATGTGTTACATATAATAAAGTGCTTATCAAAACTCAACAGTAAATACTAGCCTCAATGGAAAAATATGTAAGTATTTCAGTTAAGATAAAGACCAATACAGGGATGCCCATTATCATGATAATGTCTAACCTTATCTTGGAGGTTCTGGCAAAAGCACTTAGGCATAAAAATGAAATAATGGGTTCAAACATTATAAAAGGATAGCTAAATTGTCTCTTTTTATTGATGATTTGACTGGTTTCTGGAAAACCCAAGAGACTCTTGTTTTTTAAAGACTGTAGTTAATAAGAGAAATTAGCTCAGTAACAGGATACAAGATAATTATACAAAAATTAATATCATTTCCGTATTGCACCTAGATAAGGGGACAAAATCCATTCCTTATAAGAACAAACACCATAAGAATACTTAGGAATAATTTTAACAAGAAAGACCTATAAGAAGACAATTATAAAAACATATTAACTGACATTAAGCAGTAAAACAAATGGAAAAGTATATCTGGTTCTTGATGGGAAGACTTATCATTATAAAAAAAATTCAATTGTCCCAATATTCATATATACATGTAAGCCCTAGTAGTGCTACGGCCGCTAACCGAAAGGTCGGCAGTTCGAACCCACCAGTGGTTCTGCAAGAGAAAAGACCTGGCGATCTGCTTCCGTAAACATTACAGCCTAGAAAACCCTATGGGGCAGTTCTACTCTGTCCTATACGGTTGCTATGAGTTGGAATCAACTCACTGTCACACAACAACAACGTGATTCCAATTAGAATCCCAACAGGTAAGGTTACTATGGAATTAGAGAACTATTGAAGTTTATATAGATTAATAAATATGTAAGAAGAGTCAAAATGAGTATGAAAAAGAAGAGAGAGGTACAAGACATACAGCAAAATATAGAGCATATCTAGACTATATAGACTTTATAGTCACTATAATAAGATCCGTGTGGTAAAGGCATAGGAATAGACACATCGGTCACAGTCACAGAACAAGAAATACAGAACTAGACCCCAGTATATACATGAAAAGTAAAAATAAGGCAGAGAAAGCATGGATTATTTAATTAATGGTGCTACCATAGCTGGCTAAGCATCTAGAAGAAAATAAAATTGGCCCCCTATCTTATACAATATACAAAACTGAATTTCATGTGAATTATCGATGTATAAAATACAAATATATGATGTTGGCAAAGAACGTTGAATATACTGTGGACTTCCAGAAGAACAAACAAATCTGTCTTGGAAAAAATACAACCAGAATGCTCCTTAGAAGCAAGGATGGTGAGACTTCATCTCATGTACTTTGGACATGTTATCAGAAGGGATCAGTCCCTGGAGAAGGACATCATGCTTGGTAAAGCAGAGTGTCAGCAAAAAAGAGGAAGACCTTCAAAGAGATGGACTGACACAGTGGCTGCAACAATGGGCTCAAGCATAACAACCGTCATGAGGATGGTGCAGGACCAGGCAGTGTTTCATTTGTTGTACACGGGGTCGCTAGGAGTCAGAACCGAATCGACGACACCTAACAATACGAAACATACGATATGAAATATTTACAATCTTGCAAGAAAGTCTAAGCAACTGTATCAGCCTAGGACTGGGGGATATCATTTTAACAAAACTGAAAACCCAGAAAGATAGGGGTATTTGCTTGCTATGCAGAGTATATGCAATGTTCATAATTTGTTTTTTTCAATGCTCTTTCAAATTGTCAAGAAAACAAACTAATAGAAAAATTAACAAAGGATATAAATAGATAATCCAGGGAAGAAAAATTGCAGCTAGCTATCAAGCATGTGGAAAGAGGTACAAACTGATTAATAAGGGCGTGAAAATAGTACTTGAGCTCTATCAGACGGACAAAAACTAAAAAACAAAAACAGCAACACCTGTTACCGGTGGAGATGAGGGGAAAAGGGTACACTCACGTTGCTGGCAGAAATGAGACATGTCACAGGCTTGATTCATGAATGGAAAAACTGGTCTCTGTCAAAACTATTTTTTATTTAATCATTTAATTGACACTTTTGTTAAAGGCTGCATCAAATAGCAGCCCCACATGAATGTATCTTACCAAGCAGGTTTTTTTACCCAAGGAAATCCCAAGATCCTGGGAGAGGGGAAGAGAGATGAAGAAGGAGAGAGAAAGGTTGCAATGCCAAAGACTCTTTATTCTACTCAGAGATTTCCACCCAGCCATTCTGCCAGAACACTGGAAATTTACTGAAGGATTGAAAATCTAAGTCTCACCAGGCATGATGAGTACTGATTTCCAACCCAATTAAAAAACTAACAAGAACTAAAAGCTCCCAGTGTACAAATAAGTTATATTTCATAGTTGTCTGTAGCTTGGGATTCATTTCCTCATAAAAATAGTATGAGAAATCTCCTAAAGTAGCTCATAAAAATTAAATCACAAGTACTGGCCATGAGAAGAACAGAAAATGCAAAATCTTGTTGGTAAGGCACGTTATCTCAGGAGCGTTCTGCCTTAGCGTTGGAACCTAAACCCCATTTGAAACAATGTTGCAATGGTTACATGGAATATAGTTCCCATGAGAATACAAAGGCAAAGCCTCTTGGTCATCTCCTCTGTGTGCCCCTGTTCCCTCACTTTGTAGTTGGAAGACCATAATGATAATAACTTCTGCTGCTTACTGTGGTCAAGTGCAGTTCAGAACAATTTTGGTATGCCTCATCTAATTTAATCCTCACACAACCCTGTTATATAAACATTATTTATTATCCCCATCTTACTTAAGTCCCTGGGTGGTGCAAATGGTTAAAGTGTTCAGCTGCTAACCAAAAGGTTGGAGATTCGAGTCCACCCAGAGGTGCCTCAGAAGAAAGGCCTGGAGATCTACTCCCAAAAAAGCAATCATTGCAAACCCTATGGAGCACAGTTCTACTCTGGTACACACAGGATCAGCATGAGTTGGGGTTGACTCAATGGGAACTTTTGGGTGTTTTTCATCTTAAATAAGGAAGCAGCTTCCAAAATGCATAACAACTTGCCCTGTGCCATGTAACCAGTAAGTGGCTGAAGGATGGGTCTGATTCTTACCATGTTCTTACCTGCTACACTCCACCAAAGTTCCAGTCTTCTGCCCTGGAACCCTAGGTCACCCACCACTGGCCCTGGGTTCCTAGCCCATGTGCCCAACTCCAAACACTAGGTCCTTGGACCTCTACCACCACACTATGTATCCTTCACAACCACCCACCAGAAGAGAATCCATGGGCAGGCAAACAGGTCACACAGCTCTGTTCCTTCCTGAGAACATTCCTTGGGAACAACTGGACCTGCCATTCAAGCGTATGGGATAATTCTAGATCCACAGAAGAGCGCCCATCTAGTGTTTGGTAACATCTGTGGAGGCTATAGGGATAAAGAATATGTTCCAGTTCCAGAAGAAATCTAACCAGGGTCCAACTGGCTGCAGACACTCCACATTCGGGAACATTTTGACTCATGGATGTCCATGACCTTGCATGCTAGCCCCACATGAATCCAGCACACGAGGTTCTTGTTTAATAGGTGGCCTTCCCAAAATAACCACAGATATTAGCTCTCTCAGCAAGGTCTCTCTGGGATGCTCAGGAGACAGATTTCCCTTTCAGCTTTCCAAATC